TATTTTTGAGTATTTTAACGTATATTTTTATGTACTCCTATTATGTACGTCTGTATATTATAATTATAATATTTTTCTCCCCTTCTATTCCATAATATTACTAAACTTTAAAAATTTTGGATATATTTTTATCGTCGTGGTTACGTCAGGACCACGTGGTGCAATCTACGTCGTTTGCTACGTAAAGATGTTGCATCTCTATGAATCTTTTACCCAATTTATCATGGAGAGTGCTCTTAGGAATTGTTCGGATTGATACCTGCTGCTAATTTTCACCACCGTACAACTCGCCACAAACTAAAGTTTCATCCCAATCATCTAGACGAGTGGCGATCTTTCACCGTGTGTTTTTCAAGGCACTTCCACGCACAGCACACCTGCCATGCCGTTGATGTTGTGGGTGATCATGGGCGGCGGTAGTCACTTACCATCAGTTGAGCCACATGCTCGTTTGCCCCCTGTGTCATAAAAAATGCTATTTACCTATAAAAGCTTTTTTATCGTGTTAAGTCCTGATTTTTGTAAAGTCTGGTATTTATATGTATACTTTTCTTATTTACAGTGTGGATTTCATAATAATTAAGGATTAGTATTGTAAATTACCTTACCTTTCCTTTCCCGTAGATGTAATTGGTGACTAAAGGAACTTAATAATTGAGGGATCGACAACAGTCTCTTTCTTTAAATATAAAAAAGCTTTAAATATAAAAAAAGCCTAACTACGGTTACCAATTCGCCTGTCAACGTAGCAACTACTAACGAAACCCCCCAATAGGGGAAGACCTATGTACAGCAATGGACTGTTAAAAGCTGATATGGTGTGGTGTTGTAAATAGTATATAAGATTTATTATGATAACTGTTTGTTATCTCAAATAAAGATAATAAAATAAAAATTATTTTAAGACAACCACAGTCACAATTTTAATATTACAGAAAAAAAAAGTGTTGGTGTGAATTTCTCAGTGTAACTATTTTTGTTTCGTTTTTATAATTACATTGTTTATCGGTCAGTACGTATACTATATCTATGAATAAATTCCACAAATCCAGTTATTTTGTTTTAAATACTTAATTACTGAACCGATTTTGGCAAAATTTACATGAGACCTATCTGTAAGATAAAAAAGAATTATACAAATCGGTTTACAACTGACAGAGCTGTGAGATAACAAACATAAAAAAAAATACAACGGCATTGAGAATCTCCTTCTCTTTAAAGTCGGTTGAAAATTACTTTAAAAGTCATCATCTATTAAGGACACCTATACGATTTAAGTGTAACCATGTTTTACGATAGGAAGTAAAAGCTACTGTTGTACTTGTAATATCATTATAAAGTATAAAGTTATAAATATCATCATCATATCAGGCTTTAATTGTCCACTGCTATACATAAGCCTCTCTCTTGAGGAGTTTCGCCAGTAGTTGCCATGCTGGTTAGGCGGATTGGCAACCGCAGTTAGGCGTTGGAGATGTTTTAAAAGAGACGCTGCTGCTCATCCCTCGCCCTCCATTGATCGCTTCCTACGACACTCACGGGAATATTCCTATATATATAGGAATAAATAAATTAAATCACATTTTCGTTAATACATACTCTAGTTTGATGATCTTTATGACTTTATAAATATACGAGTATGATCTTACGTATAACAATATTTACCATTTAATCATTGTCAACTATCTAAAATAACACGTATTAATCCAATGAAATGTTTACATATACATAAAGACCTTATATAATTAAGGTCATGTTGTGTAAGTTTAATATGGGATTCCCCGCATTAAAATTTAATATTTAGATTTATGCCTTGAAATGCTCGTTTCTACTCTAATATCCTAATTATCAGTTTACACTGGATTCGTCTACTTCCTAGCAAATTTTATTAATTAATGTTTTCGATTACTCATGGAAAATCCTTGAACGATTTTTACCTTTTTTTTTTTATAAAGATTAATATATATATTTAATACTACTAGCTGTATCCTGCAGCTTCGCCTACTTGAATCAATACGTAAAGTATCTGATGAGCTAGACTATAATCTGTGTGTTCCAAATTTAATTCAAATCTTAAAAAATTCGAACGGGCTTGCTTCACTAACTGAGTTCTTATGAAAACAAGCTTTAACACTTCCATATTATATCTTTAGAGAGGCGTCGTCAGCATACTCGTAGTGATATACTATGTCTGTACAAAATCATTTATAACGTCATAGATTCGCCATTTCTACTGCTAAATCTGAATTTTAAGACGATTTTACAAAGCACGTAATCCTACGTATGAATTGTTTACATTACAAGTGTACAGAAATAACACTTCCTATAACAATCCTTTGGTAAGAATGTGTCGTCATTATAACGACTTACTACTCGACCACAAATCCATCGACATATACGGTACAAAATTTTTACTCTTTAGAAAAAACTTGTTCTCTATATTGTGAAATATGATTGAACACATAAAAACATTTCTATAGTTAACTTTTTGTATATTTATATACCATTGTCTGTATTTTATTTTTTATATGTGTTTGTGTGAATTGCACACTGTTTCAAACTGTTTTTACATGGTTTACACAAGCTGTAAGATTGTAACCTAGCTGTATCACAAATGTAACTACTGTTTAATTTTTTTATAGACATGATGTGTTTTATGCGTCTAATAAATTAAATAAATAAATAAATCCGTTCAGTACTTTTTATGTAAAAGATTAACATCCATTTATCCATCCATCAAATTATTCCGCGGCTTTGCCCGCGTTAGTTAAAATTGAAATTAAATGAAATTAATTTATTTTGCTAGAATGCAGGTAATTTTAGATGATAGAGGTATATATTTTCTGTGTACATTCTGCCTCTATATCGGCGTGCAAATTAATATACACACAAATTAATATACGGCATACAAAGCATTCTACTTATGTGTGAAATTAGAATAAGGCCCATCTACTTGTGTATCAAAAATATTTATTGTTGTGAGGATAAAAATTTGTATGTGTGGTAGGTACATATAAATATTTTCTAGACTATTTCTTATACTAATTTTTATTTCCTAATTTACACACGGAACTTCGACTAAATATCTATTTTAGTTAAGGAAGTAATCAAATAAATATTGTACACTGATTTCATGATTATTATTAATTTCTTAGTTGTTTTCATTAATAGTAGTCGTGTATGTTCACCATAGAATAGGCCACCCGTTCCTTTCCCATGGATGTCGTAAGAGACGACTAAGGAAGCTTATGGTGGAGAGATAGACAGCAGCATCAGTTTTAAAATATCATCAATCAAAAATATCATCAGCCAAACTGCAGTTGCCAACCCGCCCGCCAAGCGTGGCAACTACTGGCAAAACCCCTTTATGGCTGAGGTTATGTTCAGCGATGGACAGTTAATGGCTGATACAACATTCATTAATAAATGAAGTGTTTGTTTTTTACATTAACTTTCATCTCTTATTTAACACAATTAGGATATTAATTTTACTGAAATTATTTTTCATTATTTTTATATAAGAAGATATATATGATCAATTTGAAGTAAATCGGTTAAAAATATATTTGCTAATACAAATTTCCAGCCCTATTTTTACACTCTTAGGAGCCGAAATTCGACAAATTCTTGATTATTACTCATATTAATAATTATAGATTATAAAAGGAATCTACGGTCTAAAGGTATTTCTAACTTTAGTAGCTTTAGCTGTGCATTGATGATTCAGTCTAGACATTTTTTTTACTTCATTCCTTTATTAGAACATTTAGGGTTGCATTTTAAAAAAATACTGATATTAAGTTTTGATAATTTTATTCAAAAGTATTTAGGGTAAATTTTTAAAAATCCGTACAGACTTCTGTCTTTATGAGCCGAATTTTGAAAAATCCTTTCTAATTTTCATAAAAGGAATGTAGTGTGAAAATTTAATAATTCTAACTTTAGTTATTTCGCCTGTGCGTTGATGAGTCTATTAGTCCGGATTTTTCTATTTGTAATAGAGTATAGAGAGAATGTTATGATGGAGAGGGAGGGATTGTTAGTAATGAGGTTGAATAGCCCCATTGCTAACAATATACCCTAACAGTTTTATTGTTAAAAGTTTCGTAAGTACACAGTATATTTTAATGTAATAACTACCAAATTACATGTAAGTTAAACTGGTAGCTATTAAATTTTTTTAATGACGAGTAATGGAATCATAACTCCGTCTGCGCTATAGGTACTGGCGGGGTACCAGTGAAGGATGATAAGTAAGGATGAAAAGGCAGGTCAGTTAGCTCATCGTGACGAATTCAACGATAAATTAGTCACGATGGTTACCAGGGGAAATCGCGTAGAGGGCGATCTGACAGGGAATATGGACAGCTATAGGGGCTAACCTCCCCAAAACTAACAATCCCTTTTCCCCGAGCTATTACATTTTTTTTTAATGGATGATAATGGAATGGTAATCCCACCCGCGCTTTTCCCCGAGCTATTACATTAAAATACCCTAACAGGTCAATATCTTCAACGCGGGTCTCCCTGGAAACTATCGCGGATAATATTCGGGGAATTAGTCACGGGCTAACTGTCCAGCTTCATTTTTACCTATTGTACCTTACTATTGTCTCCAATGGAGATCATTAGAATATATTAAATACTGGTACTCCGCTAGAGCGGCAGCAACACCATAGGCGGGGTTAGCATTCCATTTTCATCTATTAATTGTACTGTAACGACATCTTTTATTTATTTCTATAACTATTTGTTATCATTGAAGCATTCCTACTGAGACCATTATTTTAAAGCAAGTTATTCGATGTCTTCCTTAACGAAATTATATTAGTTACTGAAAATGTACATAGATGGCACTGTATGTAATAAATAGAATACAGATGGCGTTATTTGAGGGTTACGGCACAGGGTGTTATAGTAATAAATTCCGTCAAACAGTGCTTTCAGCTTCCATGGAAAATACTAGGAAAAACCACCCCGGACACACTCAGTCGGTTCGGAACACTCTAAGCGTGAACTACCCAATACTCAACTCGAATTTTATTGCAAGGGTTTCTCCCTCTTAATAATTAAATGAATGATAACTTCACATCTTTGAGTGAATGATGAGCTTTTTGAATTAATATTGTGTTTCGCGTTACATTTACTATTACAATACGTTGTGATAAAAACTTTTAAACTATTATTAAAAGGGTTGAAGATCCCTGAAGTCTTTCGCGGGATATAATGATAGGTAAGTTGGATATATTAATTTTATTTTCGATTCTTCGATTTCGCTTTTATTTCTAGCGTATAGAAAGAAAAATAAAGTTATTGTTGCTAAAGTTGCTAATTATTAAAGCCAATGTAATATCAATAAACATCGAATTTACCGGTATGACGGTACTGATTTTATTTAATTATGTAAATAATTGGTACTTTATACGATTGTAACAGTAAGTAAATATGTAACATAAAGGTAAGTAATTAAAGATGGCTTTTATGAATATATTATACATATATGTATATTTAGACAGGTACAAATTACGTCTATACTATAATAAAGTTCTTAGAGTTGTAGGATCTTTATTTTTTTTTAATTATCTACCTGGAAATAAGTAACAAAATTGAAATAATTATACCATAGTTATTTTTGTCGATTTTATGACTATTTTTGTTTTGGTTATATATCACATAATCTCTATATAGATTTAAATGAAATTTTAGAACACATTATTTCAACTTAAAATTGATATGTTCTATTAGAATGTTGCGACAAATTATGTGATACAACTTAAGTTCACTACTTGATGTAATATTTTCTATTATAAAACAGCTTCACCAATTCATTAGCATCCCACTGCTGGACAAAGGTCTCTTCCCATAAGACGAGGAGTCTTATCCGCGATAAGCAAGCTTGCTAGATGGCTCGATGCAAGATTTTATTTCGAGTCTTCCTTCTTTAGCACTGACGTACTTATTGTGCTTTGTTCTTTTAGTCACTTCTTATAATATTCTAGAAATGAAAAGGTGGAAAGGAAAAGTGATCGCACTAACAAACGTCAAATAATTATTTATTTACTCTTTTCCACACAATAAAATATGTATACAGGGCGTATTTGATACCTGATGACATTCTCTATCAGTCGACCTAGCTATATATATAGCTATGCTAGAAATAGACAGTAAAAAGCAGTGCACTGGATTAATGAAAACAATTTATAAATGAAATAAACATTTTAATTGATAATAACATCAATATATTTTAAATTAAATAAACATACGTATATATATATATATATATATATATATATATATATATATATATATATATATATATATTAAAAAATGTATATATTTGTTTTTGAGCATTTATTTTTATCCTTCAGTTGGATGTTCATATTTACGACAGACAAAGATGACGTTAATTCAAAAAAATAGTAAACATGGGTCGAACAACGATAAAAAGATTTAGCTTCCCATACTAATATGGCGCGTCCAGCTGTTATATTAATATGGGAGGCTCAAAATGATTTGGCATTTATTATTATTTCAGCCGTTAACCGTCCACTGCTAGACATAAGCCTTTCCCATAAGGGGAGTTTTGCCAATAGTTGCTACGCTTGGCAGGCGGGTTGGCAATCGCAATTAGGCTTTCAGAGTTGTTTTAAGAGAAACGCTGCTGCCTATCCCTCGTCTCCCTTAGTCGCCTCTTACGACACCCACTGGAAAGGAAGAGGCTGGCCCATTGTAAGCTGGGGCACACACTGCGAATTATATCATGGCATTTTATTTTTACATACAACTAACGACTTCGGATTCACCTTGTATACTATAGGTACTTTTTTGTATAATTAGCAAAAGTTACGCTTGATACAATTAGTTTATTGTATTTCCATGCAAACATAAACAAGCTGTATATAATATATATTGCTGTTGATAAATGTAACTACAATTTTTTTTTTATAAATAATAAACACAAGCTAAAGTAGCTCGAAGAACCGGCAACTGATAGAAAAAAAAAATTATGAGTGGCGGCCCTGTACAGGCAAACGAAGCGTAGGACGATTCTCCCACTAGATAGAATGACGACCTCAAATATATTGCAGGGATTCAGTATACGCTAGTGATTCGGAATCGTTCCTTATAGCAGTCTATGGGGAAGGATTATGTTCAGCAATGAATAATTAACGGTTGCCATAATGACGATGATTTTCACACATGAAAATCGAGAATTAATTTTAATAAAATAAAACATTTATAACATTACTTGCTACTACAATGTAACAAAAATTTAAAGAACATAAGACATTATGTTATTTAATAAACAACATTTAAAAGTTTGCTCCTTCTATTATTATATTCTAGTAAAGTGTCTTCTTTTTCTAAGAACTACTACTAAGCACCACTAATAATGGCAAAAAATGTTTACACTTTTTCCAGCGCCAATGAATGTTGGCAAACGCTAAATAAAATTACGACATCGTACACATCGCGTCCTCTTACATCCCTTCTCGTTATTAGATAGCTCCTTTGTTTCTTTTCTGTTATTCCTTGATAGTATTCGCTGAATCATATTAGTTTTCAACCGACTTGCCAAAGTAGAAGATTCTTAATTCGATGGTATACTTCTTCTGTATCGGTTTCAATTCGTTGAAACCGATAAAAAAGAAGTATACGTTCTCTTATCTCGAATCTGTGTGCAATCAATAGAATTTATTATTTTCTTTATTCCGTACTAATTTCGAATCATTAATTATATAGTAATTAGTTTTATGTTACTTAGAATCGAAGAGTTGGTAATACTCCTACAGTAATATTATACAATCTACAGGGATTACATTGAGAGCATGACTTAAACAGTATCGAATAACTTGGAGTTCTATACAGAGCGCGATAGTACTTCATACCAGATCAAGACGCTGAGGTGAGCAAAACTCTAGAACCTCTCCAATTTCGCTCTGTGTCTGCTATCGCTTATTCCATGGAGAGTGTTCAGAAGAACTTTATTTTCTTATTCTACCTTCCCCTTTCAGATATCGCACCACAACAATGGGTCAACGACTATATCCATAAGCAGTAAACCTCTTACGCTCACGTACAAATATGTTTGCCAACTCTTAAATGAACCGTATCGTAACAATGTGGAACGTCCTTTTTAGTTGATCATATACCATGTCATCTCTGTGTTCCCTCAGGATGACGTGGTCACATATCGTGCTATAATAAAAAAAAAAAATAACAAAGGACATTTACAATTCATAACGCCAAACCATTCTATTTTCCCTCCATCTACGTTCAAGATTTAATCATAAAAACATATATTGCAATGTATATTTAGAAACTATGTATAAATTGAACAATCTGATAATTTTTTTTAATACGGTTATAAAAAAAAAACAGAATAAAGGGGCTTAAGTGTTTGTTTTACAGACAATAGATTGGACCTTTCCTAAGATTTAATATCTAAGCATTAACCTAAAACGTCGCTCACTCGAATAATGCCAATTAAGGCCCAGTTCTGCCTTAAACACAGTGGTACCATTCCCTCCGTACTTGAATTAATTCCGCTCTGCTTTGAATTGATTAGTCGAAAGTTTTCCGTGTCTGTGTAACAACGTAGACGCGAATAGTTGGTAGGGACTTTAACATAGTATATATAATGCTATAACTTCATGTGGGTTAGTCACTCTTTGTCCCTCGCTCAGACTGACCTAACCCTTCAGGACAGGGGGGGGGGGGGGAGAAGGATTGTTAGCAATGGAGTTTGACAACCCCATTTCTAGCAATATGCCCTATTAGGTCGACCTCCACGTGGTTCCCCCTGGAAATCATCGTGAACAATTCTTGTTGAATTCGTCACGATGAGCTAACTGACTTGCTTCATCCTCACCTATCATCCTTCACTGGTACCCTGTCGGTGTATACAGATTGTATAATAAGTAATGAGGTCAAACAGCCCCATTGCTAGCAATATACCCTATCAGATCGACTTCCACGCGGTTCTACCTGGAAATTATTGTAGTTAATTCCTGTGGAATTCGTCACGATGGGCCTACTGACCTGCTTTCATCCACACCTATTATCCCTCACTCGTGACCCGTCAGCATATACCGATACGGCGGTGGACCGGGTTACCATTTCATCGTCACTCATTAAAAGCCATTACTGTGGAACTCACATATAACCGTTGAAAAAAAGGACATCACATTCGGTATATACATACATATTTTTTTTTATACAACTTAGAATGGCAAACAAGCTGACGGCCCACCTGATGGAAAGTATATACATATTTATTTTATAATGTTAGCAACAACTATAAGGAATCTTACTAATATAATAAAATTGTAACTAGAGCATGTCTGTACGTAGGAGATATTTAAGAAAGAAATATATGTATGAGGATCTTAATTAGGAGCCAAAACTATAGTTTTTAGAAACTTTTTCTGTCTGTTTGTATGTTTATTTCTACATTTCTCATATGTAGTGCTGTTTTCATAACTGTATTTCCTGAAAAAAAAAAACTAAAAACTTAAAATAAAATTTAATTAATAATTAATCTAACTTAAAATGTAGTATATATTTTATTTGGATACGCTATCTAGAAGCAATCTATTTATTTGTTTTCCTACTTTGAAATCCACGCGTACGTAAAAGCTAGTCATAAATAAATACAAGTAAAAATATTTCTTATTCAAGTAAACTTAATTACGTATAAGCTTTTTGAGTAGTTGTTTTTATCATTTTTGAAATAGAAATCGTTAGCATCCTTTGAATGCAGTGTTCTTCCAGCACATCTAAATATTTATATAAATAATGCAAATATTATTTGAAAAACATAAAAAAAATTAGTACCTTTCGTTCTAACACGACGCATTCAGCTGTTGAATTAGTATGGAATACTCAACCTTTTTTTTATTATCAACCGACTATAAAAAAGGAGGTTCTCAATTCGGTTTTAATATTCTTTATGTTTTTAGCTCATAACTCCGTCAGTTGTAATGATGTGGAAAATTCTTTCTTATCTGAAAGGATATGCTTAAAGGTTGGTCCCATAGAAATTTTATTAAAATTGTTTTAGTCGTTTAATTTTTAAATCATAATAACTGGTTTTGCCACAATTAAAGTCTTTTTTGTAGAACTTATTTTAATTATTTATTTATATGTTTTTGTATATTCACTTATAATATAGATATTAGGTTATACCAAAATATACTTATCCCTTATTTATTATTATACTCACGGAATTTC